TAAAAATAATGAGATAACTAAATTTGTGAATTTTATATAGTATATTGAAAGAGAAAACTTTTATATAGAATCTTAAATTAATTACTCTTTACTTTTCAAAATAACAGTCACTTTAATGTAATATTAGTTTTTTTTAATTTCTCATTTATCTTCTTATAAACCCTTCCGCCACCACAACAATAAATAATACAGTTATTAAGAAATTGAAGTTATTTAAAAAATTACATAAATAATAATATATTTATTTTAACTTTTAATATGTGTGTAACAACTTTAAACTACAATTATTTTGAAATAGAAGAAACATTATTTTACCATTTTGGGAATATTTTGATATTTTAATTTCTTAATGTAAAAGACACCAATTTGACAAACTCTTGTAATATTAAACACCAAATCAATGTTTTGTTTATTTTTTTATTTTGAAAATAAAGGAGGATCCACTTTAACAGATAAAAATCAAAACGCAACCTTTCACCTTTCCATTTCCGCACACCACAAGACCCACAAGGGATTGCCAAGACAGATTTTGAATGTTGCCAACTTTATATTTTGTTCTTCTTTCCGTTAACTTAATTTGTAGGGACTAAATGTTTTTGTCTTTTTCATATGATTATGATTAATCATATAGCTTTGCCTTTGGAGCTAAAACTAGTAAAGCAAAGAGATGGGGATACGTCAATAATCCTGCATGTTTTTCAATCCAGTACTCCTCGCTATAGTATATAGGGTAAGTATAACAAATTTAACCTAATATATAATTATCATTTATTATACTTAATTACTTCAATTAAAAAAAGTATTTCAGTGAATAATAATATGAAAAATGTTAATATAATTTTATTTATATTAAATTTCCATATTTATTAAACTCTAAAATAAATACACTTAGTGTGCGCTATCCATTATTTAAGGGTTAATCATCTATACATTGTTAATGTAAAAAACTTTTACACTGACAATCAATTATATCTTTTAATTGTGTCATGTCACTGTTAAAAGTAAATGTATTTCCAGTAACATGACATAATTAAAAAATATAATTAGTTTGTTTGTCAGTGTAAAAAAACTTTACACAACAGTAACATGACACAATTAAAAGATATAATTACTTGCCAGTGTAAAAATACTTTACATTGACAGTGTATAGATGATTAACTCTTATTTTATTTTAATGTTTTTACATATATAAACGACATTAAGAAACTAGATTTTGTGTAAATTATCAAACTCTCCATCGCTGAAAATTTAAACACATTATTTTATTTAATTTATCTTAGTTTTCTATACATTTTTTGTGATTATGTTTTAACCAAAGTAGTCCCCCTCCCCTTCTTATATCTGTATGTATTTTTTTAATCAGCGGTGTTCATACATGCTTTTCTTGTTTTCAGTAATCGAATTTAATGATCATTAAAAAAAAAGTAGTCAAATTTAATAAATAAAAATTTATTCGAACGAAAAAATAAGCACGTTTTAATTGGCACTACACACTGATTGGGGGTTTGTCGGTTTGACGTAAAATGAATATTCTCGTTGTTATCATTGTAATACTTTTTTATTATTCATAGAATAATGTTAACATTCTCTCAAATTAATTGTTATTAATATTCTTAATATCCTAGAAAATTCATATTAATCTTTTTTTTTTTGAAGAAATTTGATGTCTTGAAAATTTAAAATATTTCTAATATATTTTCTTTGTTTGGTAAGGAAATTTGTAGGAAGATATTGTAGGATAATTTTAAAATGTTCTTTTTAGTATTTATCACCTTGGTTATATATGTAGATCATGTAGATGGATAAAAAAAATGTGGACCATGTATGTTCCTCTTTTACATTCTTAATGTTATGACTTTGGATTTTATTAGCGAGTGTTAATAAGTACTAGTTAAGAAGCATTTAACACGCTTTAATAACTGCTTCTCTTTACACAAAAAATTACAAAAATAATTTGTCTTAAATATAATTTTAATTTATCTAAATATTATGAATTTTTAAATTAGTTTCTCATTCGTAAAGAAAAATGTAATATAGTATTTTCTATTTCTTTTTCACATTCATTCATTATTTTTCCACTCGATTTAGATTCTAATATATATACATTGTCAATTGATTAAATTATACACTATCAATTAATTAAAAATTATTTTTGATGTGATTTATTAGATAATTATTGTTAGAGTTAATTAACAAATTTATTTGTGATTAAACCAAAATGTTAAAAAAAAAATTCTTATAATTAGTACATATACTTTTTCACCATTTAATCGTTAAATGTTAATTTTATATTTTTTTCTTTCATTTTCCTAAATATTATGAATTTCTTCTCTCTCTATATATATAGATATATATATAATTGCACTCCGACAGCGTATAAGAATCTTAAAACAGCAAACAATTGTGCTGAATTCAGATGTGGATGGATGATAGGTGAATGAATCAAATTGCCACCACAACTTTCCCTCCTGTTTTACGATGAATGATTAATCATCTATATTATTAATTAATATATAAAATAAATTCTCGTTTTTATCTTTTTATTTTATTTTTAATAACTGTACATAACTTTTAATAATTGTACAAATTATCAGGATAAATTTTTTTTTTCTCTCTCTCTCTTTTTTTAACAAAGGCGCGTAGTATTCTTTTTCAACAGTATTCATAATTGAAGAAGAATACATGAGTACGGACTCCTCTGTTTCTTTAACAATGCCATGTTCCAGCTTTGAGCAATTAATTAATGAATTACTTATAAAGAAGTTCTGGGTAAATAAAATGTTTTAAACGAGAAACAAAATGATAAAGTGCAGCAAAAGCAAAGTAAAAGATTCACGAAGGTTGTTACCAGCTTCTCGTGTGTTTTGGTTTTTTTTTTTCTCTGAAAACGAATTGAACCACACATAAGTAGCACATTGAGCACATTATGAAATGCAGAATAAAGTTCCGTTTATACGAGTGATGAGCATACTTCGCAGGATATATTATTCATGAAACACGGAATCTGACGCAGAGTACTTGTGATATGAAATGGACACTTGGATTTGGTTAACATTTCAAATATAAAATACCGGGATTTCATATATGAAAGCATCGTAAAGTATTATTATAATATAAGAGTCATTATTTTATAATAATATAATTGTATTATCCCTTTATAAAAAAATGTAAAGTAAAACGATGAGCTAATTTATTTTAGGATTTAAAGGTCATTTTTTTCTGATACCATCTTTTAAGAAAAATGTATTCACTTTAAAGAAATATCCAACATCCAACACCATCTTATAAATGTTGGAAAGATCGATATTCATTGAGTGTGACTTAGCTAGCCATATATATATATATATACCCTGAATTTATGAAAGAAAATAGTTGTATTTTTGTATAAAAGTTATAGAGTATAGAAAGATAAGAGAAGATTTTAATTGGAGTAAAATGTACAAGTATCCAATATTGTGCCACCTCAAACAAGAGGAGCGTCCATACTTTACCAGATAATTTACACGTGTAATTAAGGTGCATGCAGAAAATTTTAGTTTTATTCTCCTACGGAAGTGACTTGTTTATTTCTTTCAATTCAGAATTGTTTACTCTCTGTGGTCCTACTATGAATCTCCACAAGGTTGAAAGCAAAAGCAATAATTAAGTTGGTTTGTCACCTGTTAACATTAAAATGGAAAAATCTCACCTCTCTAGCAATACCACAACTTGCATGATTAGAATATGAAGCAATTCAATTAATATAAAGTCAAAAACTATAAAGTATATGCAGTTGGTACACTAGCAATCATATTTTCCAAATACGAGGGGACTAACTCGTCAAAAACTATGCGCGTAAACTACTTTGGCTACTTAGTTTAATCTCTATCGTTTCCTTTCCTCCACTGCTTTTTAACAAAAGAGAGACAAAGAATTGATATTGGAACTCAAACTAAACTCGTTCCAAATGAATTTTTCCCAATTAAGGACGAAAGCGATGACAAAGAAACATCCAATTGATAAAGCAAGTAATTAAAGGCATTCATGCAAGAAAAGGAGATAAAGTCAAATACACGGTTGCTATTGATTATCCACACATGTACAAAATAGTCCTCCCCAGTCAACTCTTTTATAGTCAAACTACAACTCTATTCTTTCTCAAACTTCATTGTCATTGGTCGATGAATGACGAGATTGATCAGGATTTGTACTCTACCAACCTATCAGATTAAATTCTTTAAGTTCCCATTACTTAGAAGTTCAACTACCTACTCCTCTCAGCAAATAAGCCTATCCAATCGGACATTTGCAAACCACTACGTTGCTTACATACCAACTTGAGTTAAGATAAAAATTCAATGATTTGATTTTGAAAACTATAGATACTTACACTAGATCAAATCACTCCAAAAAAAAAATTTATTATATAGTGTGAAACAATATAAGTTAGTAACACAATGTCATTAAAAATTATTTTTATTAACATAATAAATTTAATATATATTAATATATAAGTATGAATATAAATTATAATAATATACAAAATATATTATTAAATTATAATCAAAATTAATCCTAAAACTATATATATTTATATGTTAAATAGATATATGCTTATATATATTATATTTATATTGATATTTTTTTGTATATTACTATATGTAATATTTCTTATGGTAAAGGTAATTATATCAAAATTTATGAAAAATATTTTTTAGAGAATTTGAAATTTTATTACACAAAATCACAAATATATAACCCTTACTCTTTTGAATGTTTTGTATTTGGACAGCTTATATGAGATTTTCTAAATAGACCTTCCATGTTTGAATAAGATTAATCAAACTTACTGAATTGATCAATATTTTGGAGAGTGATCAATCTCAAAACATAGATCAACGTTAACTCATACGGACCAAGTAGATCGTTCGGTATACACTGTCCTAATGATAAAAAAAAAAAAATTATCTACTTATCTATGAAAGAAACTTTATAAACACTGGACAGCAATATTACAAAAACACACAGGGATTTTATAATTATCTTACTTCAGCATGTAAAAGGTTGAAGGACCTTTACATACATATAAATGTATCTTGGGATATCTTTTTTTCCCCTGTTGAGTAATTGAAGACATAAGGCTCAATCACATTCTTTAGCAACGTCTTTTCATATTAAGATAAGTTCATGTGCAATCAAAGATTGTATATAGTGTAAAAATCAGTACAAAAAAAGCTGTGTTTATTGTGGTGCTTCCGTGCTACTGGCTTCTATGTTTTGACCTCTTCACATTCTTTAACTGATTGAAGGGGTAAAGAAGTTTGATGAGTCATTCCTTCTTTGCTTTTTGGCCACAAAACACTATAGAGACTTAAAACAAGCAGAATCCCTCCCAGAACGCTGAAAAGTGAAAAGGAGATCGTCCAAAATTTTGAGGATTAGGACAACGGAATATAAAAATATTTTACACCTCATTCTTTCTTTTCTTTTTTGGCTTTGTACGCGTGATTTTTGCTGATTAATATAAGTGCATATGTGCATGAACTATTTTACGACGAATGTAATTGCCTAACTTTTTTAATATAAAATTATACTGATGTTTAAGGAGTATGACAAAAAAGAAATCTAACAACCCATCAAACTGGTTATACATGCACATGAAATGGATCACAATACCTCGATCGACTCCACGAGAGCAAGCTTAAATAATAAATTCTAGGGTTTCAACGTACGTAGTTGTGTGAATTTGGCCGGTCCAACTATTATGCTACGTTTCGCTAAATATTGGTAACGTGTTTTTCTTATGAAATTCTAATAAAGTACATTTCCAAATTTCAACGTACAAAATGAAAAAGGGGAAAAAATATTGTCTTGTAAGTAAAATGCTTTTTAAGTCTCCCAACTCACGTTCAAATATACATGTTGAATATATTTGGATAAATTTCTTTGTAAAAAAATGAAAAAAAATCATAAGTTAAAATTAGTTTATACATAAATTTTAAAAAAAATCATATTTTTAAGAAATTAATATAAGAGAGTTTCTATAAATTAATTTATACATAAACAAGTTTTAACTTTTGTAAAAATATCTTTTATTTTATTTTTCTTATTTTTCTCATATAAGTGTTTATAAACAAATTTATACAAATAGACTCTTAAGATTATCACAAAATTAATCTAACACAAAACTGGAGTAATATAGTTAAACTAATTTAAATTGGGTAACCTAGTCAAAACTAGCTTAATCCAGTTAATTTGTTGGAATTATATTTGTCTATAATTAATTATTATTTTTTGAAAAAAAAAAGAAATTTAAAACACATTTATTAATCTTAATAAACAAAACTAACTTTTATTAATCTTAGTAAATTAATTATTTGAATCTTATATTAAGGAGAAAAAGTAGTATTTAATTCAGTAGCATGTTTAATTCTAAATACTGCATATTATGAATAATGAGATTTAAAAGTGATGTTTAATTTGGTTTATGTGTTTTAATATATTTTATTAAAAATTACAATAATATTATTTAATTATTACCCATTCAACTATTAGTCATTGAAGCCTTGATTTCTTTAGTTATTACCCAATCAACTATTACACAAGTATTTGTTATATTTTTAACTAAAATAAAATAATATGTCCTTAATTTTTCAAAAAGTATATATTTTTTATTTCACATTTATTTATACATTTTTATGCAACGTGTAAGATATTTATAATGGCCTAATGTTTTTAACCAGCCTAATTTGGGAGCATGATGAAAGTTTCCGACCCACACAACCCTCTTAGTAAGAGGGTTTAAGGGAAGCTAGCCCGCGTGAATAGTGTATGATTCGTTGTTCATTTTTTTTTTAACTTCTCTTTTCTTTCTTTTTTATCTTTCTCCTTTATCCCTCTTTTCTTTCTCTTATGCCTCTCCATTTAATTTTTCTTTAATAAAATTATCTAGTACATTTATTAATATTCTATAAAATTATTCTTTAAAATTAGAAGGTATGACTATTTAATTTTTTTTCTTAATTATCGTCGGAGATACTTTTAATTCAACTTCATCAGAGTATTTTCAATTCAACATCCAATTCATTTCAACGTATCTTTAATTCAATTTGGGTCGGAATATTTTCAATTGAACTAAATTTTAAAATTTAAGGGTCATGAATTGCAACTAACCTTCCCAAACGTAGGGGCTCGCCCAAGATCAACACAGAACCTGTTGTAGCAATTATAAAACTGAGTGGGCTCCACATTGCTGAAAAAACTGGCCCTCTCTTTTCGATCACCCAAGTTTGCAAGTAGTAGGCGACCCCAGTCACCAGTGCCCCCTGTTAGATTTTCGATATTATCATATTGGACAATCATGGACATGTTTTTTTATATGCATAATTTATTTATTTAATGCAATGGAGGGGAAATTGGACAGAAAATACATGCATACAATACAATGTTTCGTAGTTATCACTTAATTGCAGTCACTGTGTCGCCATAGTCCCATGATTATCAAGTATTAATCTTCGAAGTGACAATTGAATTGGACATTCACATTGCTGCATGACCAGAGGGTACTTTTCATTTTTATATTTTTCCCCTCTTCCAGCGTTGTTTTAGTGGGAGACACAATTTAAACTAGAAACATCTTTCACGGTATACTAGAAAGAAAAGATATGTTGGTGATAAAGGCTAATCAAAAGAAGGAAAATAATGAAGCCTCAGATGATACAAGACCATGGACAAAACTAAGTCAAAGCATCCTAGACGGAGTCAAGAGCTTGCACAGTTGACCAGACGAAGACTCAAATACACAGACGAAAACCAAGAATGTTGGATTACGTCTGAAGTCACAACGAGAACACTACCTAGCATCCACACTCTCAGAAGGACACATGAAGTCATCAAAATAGAAGAAGGGAGAAAATAAAAATGGACTAGTGCCTATTCACAAATCAAAGTTGCATGTGTTAGTGCAACTACACCTACTAGCCAGCAAAGGACAACACCTTTGCAGCAAAAGTATCAGGGAAGTATAGAGACGTCTTAATATCAATCACAGAAGCAAACAAATGGTAAAAAAGATCTCGAGAAGCGCAGATTTAGCAAGCAAACATTTAATGCAAAATCAAAAGCATTAAATGCAACAATCCATGAAGATTGTACAAACTAGATGAAAGAATCATACGATAGCTAATCAAACATAAAAACAAAGTCTGCTCACGGACGAAAGAGGACTACCACCAGAATGAGACACTAAAGTATCAAACGAAGCTTATGAGGAATAGTCAAGGAAAGACACAAACCAGACAAGTCGAGACAGATAAAGGAAGTGATGTAGGAAATCGAGTGTCAAGAGAAGAATATTTGGAACACGAATATGCGCCAAATGATCATAAAATACTCAGACAAAGATATGTCTAGTACAACTATCCTAAAGCGCAAATCAGATGAGGCATATGTCTAAGGTCAAAAGAAAGTCAACTATGCATCAGACGAAGGATAACACTGACTGAGAGACACTCCAGATGGAAACAATGTTTGTTTATTCACATTGTTAATCAGACCAAAGAAAAGTTAATGCACTAAACTCAGACGCTAAAGCAAAAGTCAAGATTAAAATGCACAAGACCAACAAACTAAGATGAAGACTGCCACGCAGGAAAATAAAGAATCATGTCTCAAGAAACAAGCCAAGATATCGTCTATGAACACACCAAAGCCTTCAACATAAAACGTGTATGTAGGAACAAAGGAGAAGAGAAGCACGTAAAAGCATAGCATGCATGTGTCATAAAAAGTGCATTACTTTTTCAGAAAAGGACAACGGCTATATTACTGGAAGACCAATAAAAGAAAAATAATTTCTAAGTCTCAGATAAAGTCAAACACTGGAGCAACAAGACAAAGAAGAATACACACAATGTCTAAGAACAGGAACCAACATTTAATGCAAGACCTTTTTCATTCTTGATTTTTCTTCTTTTACAATCAACATAATCATATTTTATCTTTCTATCTTTTAAATTCTATTTTTCACTTTCTACTCTATTATTTCTTAAACCCTAATTTTTCATTCAATCTTCATTATTCTCTACATTCAATACAATGTACAAATTAATATATTAAATTACATTTTATATTTATAATTTTTTTTAACTTATTTAGCATTACTTATGGACAACAGCATCGTAGACGACGATAGTGGATGAGGAGATAAAGAAACACGTAAGTTAAATTTGTCATACCGGAAAATAAGATTCGAAATTTAATTTTAGCATTCCGGAAAGTACTTTCCGGAATAGTAAAATTATTATTCCAAAAAGTATTTTCCGGAAGTGTGTTTCTTATATAATTCCGGAAAAAATTTTCCGGAACAGTAACTTTAGTATTCTGGAAAGCACTTTCCTGGAATTATGTAACCACCGAGGGCATTCCAACCTTTTTCCGAAGCCATAGAACGCGAAGTTGTGCCCCCGCACTTGGCCATCCCACGTATCACGCCGTTTGATGGCACCCAGGACCCTCACGAACACCTGATGATTTATCGGGCCCATATGTTAATTAATGGTGGATCTGATGCAGTATTTTGTAAACTTTTTGTAGGTACCCTCACTGGGACGGCTTTGAAGTGGTTCAGCCAACTGGTAGATAGATCCGTAACCGGATATGACGTCTTGTCGCGACTTTTCGTGGCCTAATTCGCGGCAAACAAAAGGAAATCCATGACGATTGCGGATCTATTGGATGTCCGCCAATACCGAGAAGAGTCCCTGAAGGAATACTTAGACCGATTCAACCAAGTCGCAATCAAAGTGGCTAACCCTGACGAGCAAATGTTTGTGATTGCTTTCAGCAAAGGACTCAGGTCAGGACCATTTTTAGAATCCCTCGTTCAAAGGACGGCTGAAAACATGACCGAGGTCCGTGCAAGAGCCGCTTGCCACATCGAGGCGGAAGAAAGTGAGACTCGGAAGAGAGAGGCTGAGAAGAGGGAGAATACACACACTCTAACCACCACGAATAGCCGCCATCTAAAGGTGAAAAACGACTGGTCGAAAAGAGACAACGTCCAACAGGCAAACCGTACCAGTTATCACAGTAAAACCAGACATAGCAACGCTTCAGACTCTGTCGATATCGGAAATCCGACGCCGTTGAACATATCTAGACGCCGAATCCTAAGAGATGTGAACGTCACACGCCTGCTAAGCTTCCCACAAAAGGGCACTCGTATGCTGGGACCGGACAAAGAAAGCTGGTGTGAGTTTCATCGCGCATACGGTCACGACACGGAGGAATGTTACGACCTCATCCAGCAAATGGAACGCCTGATCATGGAGGGTCATTTGAAAACCTATTTAAGGCGTCGGGGTCGGAAAGACGAAGGGGGCAGTTCAGGAGTGACACGACACCAATCAGTTCCGAGACGGTCAGCTACCGATCGCCAAAAGGACGATCATGAACGTCCCGTGCTCGGCGATTTCAATACCATCGCCGGTGGCTTTGCTGGTGGCGGATCGACGTCAGCCGCGCGAAAAAGGTACGCTCGCTCCATCTTTTCTATAAACCAAGTGTGGGAATCCCGACCATCTGCGCCGATCACTTTTTCAGACGACGATTACAGAGGGGTCACTCCTCACGAGGATGATCCCGTAGTGATTTGTGTAACCGTGATGAGTCGAAATGTTAAAAGGGTGTTAGTAGATCAGGGTAGCTCGGCAGATGTCCTATTCTCTATAAACCAGGTGTGGGAATCCCGACCATCTGCGCCGATCACTTTTTCAGACGACGATTACAGAGGGGTCACTCCTCACGAGGATGATCCCGTAGTGATTTGTGTAACCATGATGAGTCGAAATGTTAAAAGGGTGTTAGTAGATCAGGGTAGCTCGGCAAATGTCCTATTTTGGGACGCGTTCATCGGCCTGGAAATCCCCAACGATCGCCTTCAACCATTTGACGGGGTACTGGTTGGTTTTACAGGCGATGAAATTGAAATAAGAGGATACGTGGAACTCAAGACGACCTTTGGCACAGGAACCTCTATGAAAACCATCACGGTAAAGTACCTAGTAGTCAATTCTCCCTCTTCCTACAATGTATTGCTGGGGAGACCATCCCTGAACAGGCTACAAGCAGTGGTGTCAACCCCACACCTCAAAATGAAGTACCCCCTAAGCAACGGAGGAGTAGGTTCGATCGGAGTTGACCAACAAGTATCAAGAAAGTGTTACCACGAGAGCATGAAGAAGAAGCGAGCATCACAATTTGCTAGGCCCCCATATCAGGTACAGTTTCTCGACCTTGATCCAAGGGAAGATTTCCCCAAGGATCGTCCTCAACCCGCCGAAGATTTAAAGACTGTCACAATTGCGCCGGGAAAGCAAGTCAAGGTGGGAACCTCACTCGAGCCGCAAGTGGAGGATGCTTTAGTACAGGTTCTTCAAAGAAACATCAACGCATTCGCTTGGCACCCACGTGATATGCCAGGAATCGACCCTGATTTTTTGTGTCATAGACTCGCCATCGATCCCCGAGCAAAACCTGTAACGCAAAAGCGGAGAAAATTCGGAGACGACAAAAAGCAGGCAATTCGCCAAGAAGTAGACAAATTGCTGTCAGCTAGTCACATCCGAGAAATCCAATACCCAGGGTGGCTAGCGAACGTTGTGATGGTCAAAAAATCCAACGGCAAATGGCGGATGTGTGTCGACTTTACCGACTTAAATAAAGCCTGCCCAAAAGATTCATATCCCCTTCCCAACATTGATTGCTTGGTGGACGGAGCATCAGGATACAAACTACTCAGCTTCCTGGACGCCTATTCAGGTTACAATCAGATCCGCATGCATCCCAATGATGAGGACAAGACATCATTCATAGCCGACACAGCTAATTACTGCTACAAAGTCATGCCCTTTGGGCTAAAGAATGCTGGGGCCACCTACCAACGTCTGATGGACAGAATATTGGTACACATGATCGGCCGAAACGTCGAAGCATACGTAGACGACATGGTTGTAAAGTCCTCTGATAACAGCTCTCACGTGTCAGACCTGCAGGAACTTTTCGACACGCTAGGGAAACACCAACTGAAGCTCAACCCAGAGAAGTGCTCATTCGGCGTTCAAGCGGGGAAATTCCTAGGTTTCATGTTAACTCACCGAGGTATTGAAGCCAATCCGGAACGATGCTCGGCCATCATTAACATGCGAAGCCCAAGCAGTGTCAAAGAGGTCCAGCAACTAACGGGACAGATCATATTGTTGTCGCGTTTCCTCGCAAAAGCTGCTGACAAGGCCCTTCCCCTTTTTAGTTGTCTGAAAAAGAAGAA